TTTTTTTTTTTTTTTTTTTTTGCAGAACATATCACTCTGGTAAAAATAACTAAGCAAACAAATGTTTAGAGAATTCATAAATAAGGAAAAAGCATGAATTTTCTTGTTTTGTTGGTAACCAATCTTTGCCTGGTTAATCCCTCATCCAACAATTCTCACTCTACAAGTTACTTCTGCAAGAAAGTTGTCGTAAGAGTTCAGATCAACCCCAGACAATATTTAATGCTCATATAGACCTTAGGAATTTATTTGATGAAACTTACCACAGTTTATATCTGTGAAATTTTGTACTTTTGTTTGCACACTTCTGTTGAGCTAACTATGCTGGAAGTTCCAGTAGGGCAGTAAACATATCTACTTTGCTGACCTCTTGATCTTTACTTCTACCCCTTTGCTGCCACATCGTAAATTACTAATTTGTTGAACAATGATAGCTTTACATTCTGGCTATGAAGAAGTCATTTGCATTCATAACTTTATTTCACTTACTTACACCCTTAATTCCACCACTTTCTAAAAAGCGGTATGCCAAGTCCTTAATTAAAGGCTGAACATCTGTGCAGAGATGGCCCACTAGGACTGCAAAGCCAAGTAAATGTCTCTTCTGTCTCCACCCTCAGGCATGCTTTTTCTTTCTCCTCACCAGTTTATCACATACCTTCTATCAGAGCTCAAAATCTTGCATACTTTCACCCTGACTTTATTTACACTTTGTAAATTTGTTTTGAAGAAGTTTTACCTACCATGTTTGACACTATTACTCGCTCTTCACCCTACTTCTGCAGATATTTTTCCTATATTGTGTCACAATCATGGAAATAGTTTCAAAATGTCTAAAAATGTTACCTTTAATATCCCATGGTTTGTGTTCCAATCTTTTTAAATCTTCAGTTTTTGCTCCCTTGCACTTCCTTCAAAACATTCTTTCAACCATTTATTAATTTCTCAAAGTTTTTTTCTAAATGTAAGCACTCAATCTTTCCATGTCTAATTGTTAAATTGTCCCTATTATTCAATGTTTAACTAATTAAATATGATTTATTAAGTCTCAGAACCTTAAGGTAAGTTTAAACTCCTCCAATTTTGAAAAATTAATTTATTTGTTAAATGTAGCACATTACACATATGTTATAACCTATTTAACATATAAGAAGCAGAAATTTATTTTATTATTATATATCCTTCAACTACACCATGCTTTGAACAACATACTGGCCATTTTACATAGACTCCTGGGCTTAACATTCCCTAGTGAAATCTGTCATGTTCAACAAATCTTTTTTTTTTTCCTCATTGAGATTATTGGTACACCTTAGACATACAGTACAGTTACATTCATCATTGGGATCTTGTACCTTTACATGACAGGTCTTGGTTCTCATTTTTTCCCTTTATCCTTGCCCTCCCTTTACCCCCTCCCTCCCTTCCCTATTTACAAATACTTTATATGTATTATTTACTCTATTATTACGATGACTAAAGAAAAATATCTAGTTGTCATTGTCCGTGAAAATGACATGGAAGAGAGCTATTTTATCAAGCTTCTAAGTGATCATAATTAATATTGAGTATCAACCTACAAATATGATGTTACACTGTGAATGAAATGTTCACCATATATTTGTTTCACTATATCATGATTTTTATCCATAAATGTTTATGTTAAGAAAAAAATATATATATATACTTTTATAAGTTTTATTGCCACTTTTTTATTTCTAGTTAGATTTATTTTAAACTATCATACTTATTAAAATTTTCAGGTATATGATTAGAAATTCCACAAACCAGAATTCAACTGCTAATTTTAGTATTTTGCCCTTGTGAACCACTACAAGCACAAAGTTGAGGACAGAGATGAATCATGGCAAGTCTGAGATGACTGCCTCAACCAGACTCCAACCAAAAACCCTGCACTGGTTTTGGAGAGAGAAAGAAAAACTCTGCTGATTTATTTGAACCCCATTTTAGGATCCTGGTTATCAATGGTGTCATAGTTTAGCCTACGTAATAACTAGTAACAAAATAAGCAGTGAGAACACAATTTTGTCACTGAAGAAAACTAAAATATGTGCTATGGGCTTAGAGACAGAAAACGGATACTGAAAATTTGAAAACTATGGCTCTTGTTATGTTGTGACCATTTCTTTTAAACTGCCACATGCAATTACTCAGAAAGTAAATCACTTGCCATTAAGAGAGGCAACCTGGGGGCTTGGAGATGAAAACTGCATGTTGCAGTCTATTGAGTGTTTCTTAATGCCTTTAGAAAGGTGTAAGAAAGAGACGAACTCAGTCAGAAACTGATAAAACTTCAAGCCAGAGGTAGAATTGACTATAATTCTAGAAGGGATATTTTGTTTGCATTTTGCTTCCACTAGAACACCTAGAAGCTATTAATAGATTGGGTTGGAAAAGTTAATTGTTTATTTAACTCACATAGTAGAAAACAATGCTCCGGATATTTGACATCTCTTATGACTTCTCACCAACAACAACAAAAATGAAAGCCAGCCACCTGCCTAATGGTAAGGAACAGATTAAAGAAAAATTTTATGCAATTAGCTTGTTTTATCAGAGTTATAATCAGTAAAATAAAAGGTGAATGACCCTGGAGATAAATTAATATTTAATATTCAGCAATATGATTGAAAAATTTGTGTCATTAATGGCACATAAAATTACTGAACTTAAATTAACCTAAAGCAAATTTTTAAGGATATGCTGCTGTTGATGAAACAACTAACTGTATCTTCAAAAACAATCTAATGGTTAAATCCTAAAACTATTCGTGAATTTTAATACTGCACGGAATTAAGTGGGTTGCAAAGTTGGATAGTTTGTTCAACTCTATGCAGTAGGGTCACAGAAGACAGTGAAGAGTGAAGAGCTTTCTAAAAGATCAAGAGTCACAGAGAAACATGGCTAAGTTATGGGGTGGGTACTGTTTGATAGCAGGAACCATACAGAGTAGAGTATCTAATAAAGAGATGTGTTGTACCTCCAAGGCAGGCAATTTTTGTAATTTCTGTGCAGCAGGATTTCATTATAGATATCAAAAGTGTAAGCTCCATGTCTTCTTCTCTTTTTCCTTTCTCAGTGGTAAAACCCATTTTGCATTTCTCATATACTAGCCACCCTTTGTGAATGGGATCTCATGGGGGAGAAAAGGGTGAGCCAGGCACCTTTATGAACAGAGGCCAGAGGGTGAAACATGTTCTTTTCTGAGAACAAGTGAGAAACAAAGTTCACTTAGAGTGTCTTGGGGAGGTACTTTTTTTTTTTCAATTAGATGATTCAAGAGCTAGGTACTTAGTATTATTGTGAAGTAGAACAGCTAGCCACAGAGAGCATTTTTATAACAGAAGGGATAGGCTGAGAAGACAGTAATGGTGTGTCTGAGAAAAGTTGGGTTAGAGACCAGTGAATGAAGTAGCCTGGTGCATAGTTGGAAGTAGGCTTCTATTTTTTTTGAGTGTGTACACTGTCCAGAAGAAGTCCTTACCCTACACATGAGAAATGCCTTAATCTTTCTAAGGCAATCTTTTCAGGGTATAAATTTTGAAATTCCTAAACATGCTTCAGAATCATTTCAACATATATAGGAAATAAAGCCTTTCCCATATGTAGACATGGTGATAACTAGTCAAGAAATATGCCTGCAACTTTGCAAGTTTCCCCAATCTAAAAATGAGGTCAATGTTTTCTCATATTTACTAAGCTGCATGCTAATATTTGATTATATTTCTTTTCAATTGTCTAGAGCATAGGCAGACTAACCTAGTCTCAACTGCACTTTAGGAATAAAGAAAACAGCATGAACTCCAATTTGGATCCAGTAAGACAGGGACATAGGAAGAGCCGCCCACTGCCGCAAGTTCAAAGAAATAAGGAAATAAAACCAACTATTATGAGAATGGGATAAAGGGACTGATATCTGTGGGTCCCTATCAAAGAGGAGATTCTTCTTACTTTACCAACAGAAACAATCTGGACCATATTTCGTTTGAAAAGAGAGCAACTTTTCTCACCATGCATAGCCTCTTACCCAACATTATGATCCTGGCTTTTAGTCCCAGGTGTTTACCTAGTCCTGGCTTGGATAGCAGAGTTTATGAGCAAAGGAAAATTTGGGAAAAGGGGATTTATTCTCTATGTAGTTTGTATTTTAATTTACTATTTGATGACAGCTTCAAGAGTGTGAGACTCATT